CCCCAAAACCCCAAAACCCCAAAACCCCGGAAATGAATCTTCTGATTGAATATTAAAACTGGAACTGGAGAATACTGGGGATCAAATGCCCATAAAACTTAATATTTGGAACATCAAAGTTTGAACCTCCAAACCGGTTTGAATAAACATCCAGACCTAATTATAATGTGAGATGAGGAACTATCGTTAAAAATATAAATGGGGTAATGCCACTTAGTTGGGGCAACAGCAACTTTGGATAAATATAAGCTTACCTAATATTGTGACAAATCTTCCTGCCACAAATTGTTTGAAAATGAATTGGTAGTTTGTTTGGAGAGTCTATGCTTATGTATAAATTCTTACTGATAAATCATATGCGATGGCTGCCAGTCTCAGTCTGTAATAGTCCATCCTAAATGTTATAAAATTTCTTACTCTTCATCCAACTCATCATAGAGCTCGGCTACTTTGTCAGAGTCTTGTACTGAAATCCCTGAGAGGCTGAAGTCAAACTTTTGTTCTTCGTTGTCTAAAGTAAACTTTCAGGCCTACCATATTTGGGATCGAACTTGGATGAATAGAATGTCTGATCAAACTCCATCCACTGATTCATCGAGCTGGAGATATTAGGGATAAACCCTGCTTTCGAGTTCTTGTGAAATAGTTTGTAGAAGAAATCAAATTCTTCTCCAATATCAGACATATCGCCATTATTTTCTTCTTTATTTATTTTATTTTCTTCAAGTCCTCCTTCAATTTTGGGAGGGTCAATGAAAGGTTTCATATTTATCCATTCTGAAAGCTCATAAATTTTCTTGATCAAAGAAGTTAGAGGATGGTCTTCACAATCCATAGGAGAGTCATGCACTAAAATTGCAAAGGCTTTCAGGGGGCATGTGCAATCATCTGTTTTTGCCACCTAGAGACACTTTAGAACAGCTACAAACAAGAATAAACAAGAATATAGTTGGTTAAATTTCCAAGCAGGTACTTATCGTTTTAATTTGGTTTATACACCTGAACAAGTTTCATTTATTTTTGTAAGAATTACTATGTTATCCATTGATAGAGATCAATTATTCTAATGAAAGTTACAAACTTGTGTTAATAGTCAAGAGAATTTACCTCGACTCTTTTTAAAGCAAACAAATTCTGTCTGGTCCATTCATTGAAAGAAGAAATATCGTACTCTACTATTTTGCAGTGATTCTAAATAATAAAAATTGTCAATGTTTACTGGAACTGCATCAGGGTCGTCTTTAGTGATCTCACATTGGGTATGGCCCATATAGTTCCTTCTTCTGTATATAGTCTTATTCTTTATTCTTATATTAATTAAGATTTTAATTTTTCGAATTATTTTTTCCATTTTAGTTTTCGGATTTTTGGAAATTTTAATATCTTCAATCATTTTATTTACAGGCAGATCTGGATCATCACCTAAAATCTCAAACACTTGATGCTTTTCAAACTTATCCTTATTGGTCTTGTAAACAGCTTTGAACTCCTTCAATAATTGGAAGATGTCATTCGTTTTCTCTGCATAAATTAATCCAGTGATGCAGAATACTAAAATTGATTATTAAAATATTTAAAATGAATTATGCTGACTATTTTATAGCTTTTCTTACACGATGATTAATGATAATATTTATAGGACTGCAGCCCTAAGTTTTTAGGCTTTTGGAAATATAGCTTTTATTGTGCATATTTAGCAAAATCTAATTTTTGAATTCCAAGTAAATAAATTGTCTGTCTTTTATATGGATCCTATGTGCTAAATACTCTCCTAATTTACAATTTTATGACATTATGAAGTGTATTTAACATGATTAATATACTATTGCACATGGTTTTATTATAACTAACCAGAATTAATTATCAAAAATTTTGATACATGTGTTATACCATTTGGAAAATATTTCTTCTGAGCAGAGTAATAAGTTGATTCTGGCAATCCTGTTTCAAAAACAGTATAAAAATTTTTATGAAAACGTTCGTGACCTCCTGTAGAACGTTGGGCAACACAATAAAGTCTCCTAGATTCTCTATGTAGTTTGGTCAAGGTTGAGATAAATGACACTTCTGTTCCTTCATATAATTTTATTTCTTTTAATTCGTCAATATGCTGGATGCTAAATATGACGGTGGTTACCTTTCAGAGTCACTATCTTGGGAGTCCTCATCCGCCTGGATGATTTCTATTTGATGTTCTCTTTCTTGCTCATAATCAAAGATTAGTTGAAGGTGGAGAGGCAGTATTCTTCTAACGAGCTCATTATCTTCTCTATAACACTTTAGAAAAGCTGTAAATCAATTTGAATCTGAACTAAATGTTCATTAGAGAATAGAGATCTTAAGAAGTTCAAACAAAGATTGGAGAGATGAGCTAATACTTTCCTACTTCTCTAGTTGATTTTAGAGCAAATCCCTGGATGCTCACTCAAAAATTACTTACACAATGATATGGAAGAACTGTTTATTGACTAGATGTAGTTGAGACCTAGATCTTTAATTTCCCTCACTTACCTATGAATATCTCTGAACTCGAGGAACAAGAGTATTTCTCTCAAGAGCACATTTAAAAGCTTCATCTTAAATATTAATAATTAATTCCAGTATATGCCGACTTTTATGGGGTTTTGGGGTTTTGGGGTTTTGGGGTTTTGGGGTTTTGGGG